TTGATCTCATCCCCATTTCTGCCTTTGATCACCAGTAGTTTAATTTCACTTCAGGCAGTATTTCTCACATAAATATAAATCATTTTTTATTCCCTTCTCCCAGCCCTTCTCTCAATTATTCCCAGAAATGTTTCTTTTTCCCTCCTTTACCTTCTCTCATTCTCCTTCTTTTATAGGCTGAAAAATAACTGTCATTATGAAAGATAAAATACAGGTAGTGCTAGTGACATACTCCTATCAAGGAAAACAAAGTGTGTACAGTTTGGAGTAGAATTAGGTATAATAATCTCTTCATCCCTCCATTCTGCCCAAATTATACCTGTTTTTCTTCAGGTACTAGCATTCAAACTAAATAATTTTCTTTTTAATTTTATGTAAATACAGTTGGCATTCTTTTCATTGTACATATACAAAATTTTGTTCACTTACATGCTTTAAATAACTTTATAATAAATCAGGATCTAATTACCAATCAAAAGCTTTAGTGGAAAAATGGGTTGTTTCCTAGAATGTGTAGTTTTGTATCAGAATTCATTTGTAAATTAGGCATCCCTTAACTGCTGATTTTAAATGTGTGCAATCCACTTTTTGAAAGACAAAATATATATCTATATGTAACAAGCTTAAAGTTTCCACTGAATTAGCCACATGGATAAGAGAGGTTACTTGACTGCCTGGAAAGGGAATCACAGGCTGGTAGAACCTTGGGATGTGGCTGTTTCCTGCTTTTTAGCCAAGCTATGGATTTACTTGTTTTGTGTTTTTAGCCAAGCTATGGATTTATTTTTGTCAATGTTCCCAAATGGATCGAGTTCACTGGCCCTGCCTGCAAACTCACAAGGGACTACGTGTGTAATTAGAATGTCACGTTTTCAGAGAGACCAAATACTGCATCAGTGGTACATTTTCATCCTTTAGGAGAGTTTATATGAAGGATAAGTTGTAGTCATAAGGCTGGTGAGCATGGAACCAGATCCCAGGGTAGGGGGTTTGTTGGTGTATTTAATAGCAAGTGTCATATCTCTGCTGTAGAAATGGAGATACATATCAAAGATATTTCCTTTGATTGACTGGTTAGGACATAAGTCTTTCTCTTTCGAATTCTCTTTTTTTAAGGGTCCATGTTGTCTGACTTTTTATTGGAACATTTACTCTTAGAATCAATTGATTAGGTGAATCTTTTAATTTTATTTTTTTAATTAAATTAAATCTTTATTGTTCAGATTATTACAGTTGTTCCTCTTTTTTTCCCCCCAAAGATCCCTCCCCTTGTTTCCCTACCCCACCCTCCGCCCTTACTCCCCACCCACTGTCCTCATCCATAGGTGCACGATTTTTGTCCAGTCTATTCCCGCACCCCCCACCCTCCACCCCCCCCCCCAAGAATAGTCAGTGCACTCCCTTTCTATGCCCCTGATTCTATTATATTCACCAGTTTATTCTATTCTTCAGATTTTTTATTCACTTGATTTTTAGATTCACTTGTTGATAGATATGTATTTGTTGTCACTTTGTTGTTCATAACTTTTATCTT